TACTCGAGAAAAATACAGATTTTGTATATAGCGGTGAGTAGGGTCGAATCCACAGGGACTGGGGATAATTCGTTTCTTCTAGAGTCAAATATGGGGGTTTTGGATTAAATGCTAACTAAATAAATTAACTGCAGAAAATAATTAATTAAAAGAAATGATTGGGGAAACTCTAGCCAAGGGTACACATCAGAAATGGTTCATGCACTGATCATTGATGCAGAAATAATTCCAACATTTAGCAATAGATTAGTTATAGTTGTCATGCACGCGATAAACAACCAACCCTTCCTTAATTTCTCGATAGCTAAGGTACGACCGTTAGCTATTTCTCTAACCCAAAAATAACCCTAGGTACGACCGTAGGATTTAATTTCTAGATTGCATTAATAATTAGAAAGGCCCAATCCTAACCAACAAACACGCTACGAGGGTTTGTTTAAATTAGATCATATGCTCCCCTGACATAAACCCAATTACGCCAGTTGCTACTGAGGTAGAGATAACGAACAATTACGGATTCAATTACCCCTATTTAGCAAAAATAGCCTATATGAATAATTAATTATTGCGCACTAATCAATCATACACAAGGCCATAGCAATTAAAATCAAGGAACATATAAATACCAATAAATGAAGAAAATAATTAAAACAGATTCGATCTCACAGTAGTTGTCGAACCAAATCGTCAGTTGTCCCCTTGACTAGAAAAGTTAACCACGCCTCATGAGAAAATCTCCCCGTTGGGAAATATTGTCGAACACCTGGCGTGTGTCAGAGGCCAGTCTAAGGAAAGAAAGAAAAGAAACTAAAACTAAACTAAAACTAGAGATGTCCCTGCTACTCTACGTTATCCCTATTTAAGCAACAAGAGGAAGATGACTAAAGGCTATCTAGGTGGTCCCCACACATGTGGACAAAGCCCTCCAAGTACTTCTTGTTCCAAGTCTCTTTCCCGTAGCTTTCTTTTAAGAGCCCAAATGACTAGATGCTTTCCACTAGCTTGTGGTCCCCCACCAATTCAAGGGCCCAAGAATTGAAGCCCTTAGAAGTCTCCATATTTTCCATAAAGTCCTTCCTTTTTGATGATTTTCTGCTTCATTCCTGAAATTAAATCCAGATACCAAATATGAGTAAATATCAGCAATTAGCACACTATTTATCAGGGATAGAAGGGGAAATTAATAATAAAATTACTAACAAATTATACCCTATCCGATATCTAATTTTCAACCAAACTAATTACTTCGATTCCGGGATTCAATGAAATAAGAGGTTTCATCCCATCAGGAATCTCCAAGCTTACTAGTTGAGTAATATTTTGCTTGGAGAATGATCTATTGAAGCTGTAGTATTCTTTCTCCCATTGGAATGCTTCATAAGCCATAGTATTTGGGTTCAATGGGAGTATATCTTGGAGTGTAGGAGACATTCAAAGTTTGCAAATACTGCATCTCGCACTAAATAATCTGCGTGGTGTTCACCAAGAAATTTACCTGTTAACTTGCGTAGTCTCAACTTGTCTCACATTTCTTTTTACAGCCCCAATCAAATTAAATTTCAGAGTATGGAGAGTCTTGTGGCCTTGGATGTGAGTGCAAATCAACTCTCGGGGTGAGATTCCAAGTACTATAACCAAATGTGTGAGATTACGCTGTCTTAGCTTGGCAGGCAACAACCTTTCGAGGCACAAATTCCTGCTAGTTTGAGTTCTTTGAAAGATATTTTGGTTGTTAATCTTTCAAGCAACCACTTTAAGGGAAGCATTCCAGATTTTCTGTCCAATTACGTTCTGTGAAATATTTGGATCTGTCTTACAACGATTTTGAAGATGGAACGTTGCCTCTTTACAGACACCAGTGCTCTCTTTCTTCAAGGAAACCATAATCCGTGTGGAGATGCATCTCAATTGAACTTGCCACCCTGCCCAATCAAGGTCCCTTAACAAGAAAGACATCCCCTACTTCATTAGCAGGACTAACGACAATCAGCATTGTTCTTTGCTTTCTTATATTGCTCTCGATCTTTGCATTGTGTTATATGAGAAAGTCAAGAAGAAAGCAATTCTGTTGTTGCTGTATCAGCAAGGGATACTGGCGACTGAAACTCACTTTCGAAGATATTCGGAAGGCAACTGACGGATTTTCTGAAGCCAACTTTGTAGGATCAGGAATTTATGGTTTTCTTTAGAACGGCTTTCTCAATGGCGAAGAGACACATATTGCGGTAAAAGTCATTAACCTGAAGTACTTACAAAAGCTTTGTTGCTGAGTACGAAGCACCAAGAGTGATTAGACGTAGGAACATTTTGAAGATACTTATTGCTCAAAAGTTCAATCTGAAGGGTAACTACTACTTGGCTCTCTTTGTAGAATTCATGTCAAATGGGAGTTTGGAAGAGTAGCTGCATCAGGCCGAGTTGGGGGATGCGGGCGTGGACGGTTGTTAGTCGAAATAATGTAATATTTTTTGAATAAGACGTAATTCTACGTGAATTACTTGTAAAACTTAACAACAGAGATGTTATTATTACATATGATATCTATATGAGCAGTAATAACATATCACACTTCTGTTATAAAAGCGTACAAGAAATTTACGTAGAGTAACAAAACGTTCAAAAAAATATTACACTGTTCAGGAACTGATTGTCAGATCAACCGTCCTTGCCCATGCCCAACGGAATTAAATCATTTTCCAGAGGCAAATATTGCAATCGACGTGGCTTCTGCTGTAGATTATCTCCATAACCAATGCCAGGATCCAATAGTCCACTTTGATCCGAAGCCTAGTGACATTCTTCTTGATGACAACATGTGTGCTTACATTAGTGACTTTGGTCTTGCAAGGATGCTTGCAGCTCCAACTTTTGAAACAAGCTTGGTAAGTCTAGAAGGCACCCTTGGGTATACTCCGCCAGGTACCCACACTAAATTGTTTCTTGTCTTTTTTGGCCCTTATTCGGTTTCTTTCGGGAAGATTTGATGCATTTCAGGCACTTATCCTAAGAATTAAGGAAGCAGAATAATTGCTTGATTCAAAAATCAAATCTATGCTAGCGTATATGACACATAAGTACTTCAACATTCCACGTGGTCAGTCATTTACTTCATCTTCCGGTTTTTTAAAAGGGTAAAAGTTCTAAAAAGGAAAACTTTGGCTGCCAGCAATACGTGCATGTACAAGAACCAAAGCTGGAAAACTTCTGTATGAGTATTAACATTTCATTTTAGCGATGAAAGAAATATTGACACAAACTCCAGAGAAAGATTCAACTTCTAGTTAGCACCAATATCAAATTGTCCGATTTGCATCTTGAGTACTCAAGCAGTCAGTGTGTTCACCGGCCCGCAATTGATCATTCGCTGAAAAAATCAGTTTTTTCTACAAATCCAACATCTAGTTATCATCCAAACTTTTATTTGATAATTGATTTTGACGCGATAATTGGCATTTCGATAATATTAAAAATTAGTTAAGCATGCATGTAAATTAGTTAAGCATACATGTAATTAACATGATTGAGGTTGGGGGGAGATGGATTGAGTGATACGAAGAAAGATAGTGTAAATGAGAGATTCCGGATCGAGACCTCTCGCTTGCACTAAAAAAAATTTTAAAAAAAAAATGATAGAGGTTAATAAATGCGTTTCAAGGTCACATATAGAATTATATGCTACAATAGCCATTCCCAAACTATTTTACTAATTTTATCCATGTCCGATATAAATGGCGTCTTCCGGTTTTCCCTTTTCTTGCCAAAGTTGCGAAGCATCCGCTACCAGCAGACGAGCCCAAGGGCCCCAAACCCCACAACCAAATATCCTTTAAAAAAAAAACGCTTGACTAGTTCAGAGCGCAACATTCAAACATAACACCGCTTCCCCACCCACTCCCACAACAAACACCCCATCACAAAAAAAAAAAAAAAAGGCAAGTTTCAGAACTATATATGAGAAATAGGTTTTATTCGTCTTGACAAATGGTGGAATAAGACACGGGTCTTGTTTAATGCAGAGTATGACTTGGGTGAAACTCCGTTTGGATTAGCTTTTTTGGGAGTGTTTTTTAAAAATTTTACTGTAACAGAGTTTTTAAAGTATATTTTGGAATATTTTTAGAAAATATTTTGGAATATTTAAGAGTAATAGAGTTTTTAAAATATATTTTGAAATTTTTTAAATATTAAAAAAATTTAGACTACTCTTTTTAAATTTTTATAATATTTGAAAAACTCCTTGATTGGAAACAGATCTTGGTTTGTTTGGATTGTGAATTATTAGAGATATTTTTACTGTAGCACTTTTTGTGATGTGATGTATGTGAGATAAAAAGGTAATTGGAAAGATAGAAAGGTGCGTTGGAAATTGTAATGATGATGTAAGCAAATGTATTTTGATAAATAAATCGCAATCCAAACAAAGACAGAGTTGATACGGAGTCATCCTCTCGGAATTATTCACGGAAAGAAGGCCAGCTGATGGATATTTTGCTGGTGATTGTGACTTGCATGACTTTGTCAAAATTGCCCTCCCTGAACTAATAGTTGAGATTTTGGACCCATCACTACTGTCAGGTAAAGACTAAAGACTATGATGCTGGAATTGTGATGCTCGAGTGCTTGATTTTGATTATCAGAATAGGCGATGATTGTTCATCAAAGTCTCCTCGAGAAAGAATGGATTGGGATGTAGATGTTGTTACGAGGGAGTCGGTAAAAATCAGGGAATCGCTCAAATTTGTGCACGTAAACAATGCTAAGTTCAACAAAAGCCTTTTCTTTTCCTCTTTTTGTGGGGAGGAAGAGAGGAAGGGGGGATCGATTTTTTTGCTGGCCAATTTGACTTGCAAAACTTCGTCAAAATTACCATGCCTGAAAGAGCAATGGAAATTTTGGACCAATCGCTACTGTCATCAATTGAAGGTATTGAACATGGAATGAAGCAAGGAATGATGCATGAATGCCTGGCTTCAATTCTGAGAATCTGCATTAATTGTTCATCAAATGATTCAAATGAATGCCTCAAGAGAGAATGATTCAAAATATTGTTACCAAGAAGTCACAAATGATTAGAGCCCGCATTGTCTAAATGTGCACATGATCCAACTTATTGAAGGACTAGTGTTTATAGCAGCTGTTTCAGAGTCCTGCCATGCTAAAAGTATCCTTGATGGATTTCAAAGAAGAAAAAACTTCAGCCATGTTCGCTAGAGCTTCGTGGTCATTATGCAGAAGTATGGGATCCACGATGTCCATCACGCGGTCTGGGACTGCCATTTCAACAAACTTGTGAAGATCAAGGCCTTCGCTGAACAAAGCATGCGTAGGTCTCTTCCCTGTCACCATCTCCAGCAGTAGAATCCCAAAGCTGTAGACATCTCCATAAGTTGATACCTCAGCACCTAAGCCATACTCTGCATATATTTCGAAACTTTGTCAGATGGCAAGAGTCTAACAACTAGACAATGTCAAGCATAGCAATCGCTACCAAAAAATGAACTTCGTGGCCTATATAATGTTGCATACTTTTAGCTTAATATTATTAAATAATCAGTTTATAAGAAAGTTCTTTCTTGCCTGGAGCCACATATCCTATGGTTCCTCTAATTCCAGCGCTGCTGCTCTCCTGTAAATTAAGAGGTGATTGAAGAAATTTGGCTAGCCCAAAATCTCCAACATGAGCTGTGAGATCATTGTCAAGGAGAATATTGCCTGGTTTGAGATCGCAGTGAACAATCTCTGCGTGGCAATGGTGATGTAGGTAATCAAGGGCACAAGCCACATCAATAGCAACATTAATTCTTTGAAGAAGGTTTGGTCTACGAGATTTCTTCTGCTGATCTTCTTCCCACGAATGCAACCAGTTATCTAGACTGCCATTGGGCATGAATTCGTAGACTAAAGCCTTAAATTCATTCCCCTGGAAATCTAGGCTCGAGCATGAAGTTATGATCTTTACAAGGTTTCGATGCTGAATGTTTCTCAATACTTCACACTCAGCACAAAAGCTCTTGAAGGCTCCGTGGTGGAGAAGATTAAATACTTTAACTGCCACAGTTAAGTTTCTTTCTTCATTCAGGTTGCCTTTATACACTGAGCCAAAACTCCCAACTCCAACTAGATTCTCTGCAGAGAAACCATTGGTTGCTTGTAAGAGTTGTTTGTAGTTGAGTTTCAGGAATAATCCACCCGATAAGCATGTTTCATAGCTTCTCTTTTTCAACGAGCGCTGTCGGAAAATTGAGATCAGGATTACTCCAAGGAAAACAATGCTGGTTGGAATTATTATGGGTATGATGACTCTGAGAGGCTTCTTATGTTTCTTTGAGTCTCTCAGGATGCGGCAGTTTGGTAGCTGTAGTTGGAAAATGCCTCCACAAAGTCTTCTGTTCCCAACGACTGATATAGCACTAGCATTTGCAAAAACACCTTTTGTTGGTACCTCACCCACAAAATCATTGAAGGACAAATTCAAGGTCTTTATTGCAAGTTCTTCCAAAAGTGGGGGATTTGCCCAGAGAAATTGTTACGAGAAAGGTCAAGAATTTGAATAGCTCTCATAGAACTTAAGAATTTTGGGATAGAACCCTGGAACAAGTTACCTGCAAGGGAAAGGCTTTCGAGGCTACTACAACTGCCCAAGGTTTCAGGAAGTTCACCTGACAGTAGATTTTCAGAGGCATCGAATTCAGCTAGATTTTCCAAGTTGCCAACCTCTAATGTAAGGTTCCAGATAAATGATTGTTAGAAAGACCTAAATAAATTGATAGAGAAGAAATCCCAAAGATTTCTTTCGGTATGAAACCACTAAGATTGTTTTGAGAAAGTTGCAAGAATAACAAACCTTGGCAGTTACCCAGAGAAGGTGGTATGGTTCCGTCCAACATGTTACTGCCCAGATATAGCTTATCCATCAATGGAGAGGTTTCCTAAAGAGTCAGGAACTTTTCCTGACAATTTATTGGAATCAAGGGCTAGCATCTGAAGCTTTTGAAGATTACCAATCGTACTTGGGATGCTGCCCGTGAGCTGATTACCTTCTAGAACTAAATTATATAGGCTGACGAGATTACCGAGTACTGAAGGTATCCCTCCATATATATGATTATCACCCAGTGACAGTATACGGAAGAATTGAGACAGGTTACCAATGTTGCTGGGCAACACCCCTTTTAATTGGTTGGACCCCAAGTCCACACCAACCAAATTGCTCCAGTTTGTCATGGTACTAAGAAAATGCATTTCATCCAGTTCCCCACTCCCAAAATTATTATCTGGCGCAAATAGGACAACGAGATTGGGCAGGCCTCCAAAATCAAAGGCTATTTTGCCTTTGAATCTGTTGTTTCCAATGTCAATCGTAGTTAGATCAGAGGCATTTGTTATTGAGGCTGGAAGCATTCCTGTGAATTGGTTATCAGCCAACAAGAGATACCGAAGATGAGGAAGCATGAGGCCTAATGCTGAAGGAAGACTTCCATGCAGCTGATTAGCAATCACGGACAAGGTCTTAAGTTGGGAAAGATTATAAATCGAAGGTGGGATAGTTCCATATAAGTCGTTCCCACCAAATTCAAAAACCCTTAAATTTCTCAACTGTCCTAAGGTTTCGGAATATTCCCCACCAAATGATTATCTGCTACAGCAAGTGAAGTCAGGGAAGTAAGATTTCCAAGGGAAGAAGGGATAGCTCCTGTTAGGTCGTTCGTGAGAATGGCAAGAGTTTCAAGATTACGCAAAAAACCAAATGCCGGCGGTAATCTCCCAACTAGCTTGTTGTAGCTCAGAGAAAGTTGCACAAGACTGGAGCACCGGGATAGATTTGCCGGAATTTCACCCTCTATTGAGTTGCATGACAAAGACAGAATCTGAAGTCTGAATAGCTGGCCGAATTGGGCAGGAATTTCATCTTGAAAGGTGTTGTTGGTTAAATTTAATGCACGAAGAAAGCTTAGATTGCCCAGAAAAGGTGACAAGAAGCCCACTAAGCCTTTGTCTTTCAGATTTATGCTGGTTACTCTTTTGTGCTTGCGACCACATTGTATGCCCTCCCATCTACACAAGCCATGAGAATCATTCCACGAGTTCATGATTCCATAAGGGTCATGCTGAATTTTGGACTTGAACGCCAATAAAGCAACAACATCACGATCATCTGCTTCTTTTTGGCCCTTCATGGTTTTTGTGGAAGCTGTGTCCAGAGGAATACTTGTGAAATATAACGCCACTGCGGTAAGCAGCGCCAGAGGAACTCTTCTTGTAGCAGGAATTGAGATTAGTAATCTCGGCATTGCCCAGTTTGGAACTCTGTGATTCGCTTCTCAAAGTTTTCCCAACTCTAATCTTTTTGGTGTTGCCCGGTATGGCCGGTTGACTAGCAATTATAAGACCAAGCGATCACGTACAAATAATTGAATACTTGAGCAGTTGAGCTATCTCATTTCCAATTCTACCAGCCCGACACTAAAGTCGTTCTTTGACTTTTTCGTAGAAAGAAAGATAAGAAAATGACTCTGAGCATTAATTCCCGTTGAATCATATGAACAAGGCGCAATTTTGCCAGGTCAGAAGACTTTTGTCCATCGATTTGACGATTTCTCACTTGTCCGATATTTCAAGGGGAAACCGGTGGGTAAGATATGCCCAAAATGGGATGCATGGGATCAGCAGCACCCACATGCCATGCTTCCAACCATTACATCGGTTTCGGACTGAAGATAGCCATGAAACTACTGTAACATGCTTGACATCGAAAAATCTATTCTGACAGTTTTTTTTTTTTTCTGTCAAATAATGTATTCTCATTTTTCTTACCAGGAAGGGCGTTTGGATGTTGTATTTTTTAGATGTTTTTTCTAAAATTATAATCTAATGTGTTGGTTTAACATGATACATATAGTGATTTTAGTTTTATAAAAATTAATTTCTTTTTTGCTATCTATACAAATAAGATGGCAGAGGGTATCCAATAGATAATCTGAACATCCGCACGAGTAAAGGAGTTTCGCAATGAATAACAAAGTAGGGTGACTCGATAGAGTTTAATAATAGATTTAGCTAAAAAAAAACAATAAGTTAGCATTCAATTGGAGGCATTTTCAAGGATGCTGGACTGACTCCCATCCCCAGACAAACTTTTTAATTTCTAGATGAGAACCTCGTAATCAATTAATTTATAGAAGATGACGGTTGGTTTGGATTAGCTTTTAAGGCCAATAACATTTGGTCTCATATCAAGCCTACTGAACCAAGAAAAGCTCATCAGCTCCGCCCAGCTCAATCAATCTTCACTCTTCTCCCCAATCTGCAGTACTGCACTGAGGCAACACTGACTCGAAAGCCAGAACCAGAGACGTCAGAGGAGAAACGGTCGTCTTCACTTATGGACACTCTTTCCTGTTGTTTTGTTTACGGTTGAGTTCGCAGCCTCGCAATGATGAAAGCAAAATGAATTTCTTGAGGTTAATGTCTCCACCAGCTAGTTCCTGGGAGCGTTTACCAAAACTCTCTCAATTAAAAAAAAAAAGAAATTGTTTTGATCCAAAAAGAAAGAAAAGAAAGAAAGAAAGAAACTGAGTTTAACGCATTGAATAAATCGAGGCCTGTAACATCTAAAGGGCCTAATGTCACCCATTAAATAGGGAAAAGCTTTTGGGTGGGGAATTGGATAGATTTATAAGTCTACTCGGGATTTAGATTTATAAAATTCAAAAAATTTTATGAAAGGTTTTGACCAAAAAAAAAAAAAAGGGAATAGCTTTTTAACATCCAGCCTAATGTTTATGTACTCGCCCAGCTTTAGTACTGTCAGTTGTCCAACTATATAATGGGTCGAGTCGGGTCACATGCAGTTAAATGCATTCCCCGAGTCTGCAGAATCTTGGGAGCCAGCACAAATGCCCAATGAGTCTCCATTTTATGTAGTGCTGCACGTCCAAGAAAACTATGACCCGAAAGTCAAAACTCAAAACCAAAGAAAAACATTCCACGTAAGTGGTGTCTGCGTGCGCGGGTAGATTTAAGGTTTATGGAAGGACCCTCCTGTCACCAATTGGCTGGATGGATATTTCTTGTAAATTTCCCTTAAATTGCTTTCGGGGCGGTTTGCTAACGCTTGCTCTCATTGTTTGGGTGTGTGTTTAATATTCCGTTTCGAAAAAAAAAAAAAAAAAAGAGAGGAGAATATGGTGTCTTCATTTTTTAAGACTCTTGAATTTTCTTGGTTTAAAGCCTTAAAAAAGAAGAAAGGAAAGACTTGAGAGACAAGAAATTTACCGTGATTAATGTACCTAGCACTTGAGCTGCCGTTGGAGATAAGATTGTAAATGAATCAAATTGAATCAAACTTTCAACCTATCAGGTTGGATTCAAATTTTTTGTTTGAACTCGAATCCTATATGAGCTAAAAATTTAAGTTCAGGTTTGATTCAATTTAATATTTGATAGGTTCGAGTTCGATTCAAAAGGTCAAAAATCTATTTAATTAATATTAAATTATTACTAATACATATATAATCCATATAACAAAGCGATACATGTACAATTTTATATAAATTATTAATAACTATTTGAAATAAATTTTATTCAAAATTATTAGAACATTATCCAGCCAAATATGTAAAAGTTTGAACTCAATTCGATACTTTAATTGAACCTTAATTCCTATTGGAATTTGCGTTCGAATTTGTTAAAAATTGAAATCGAATTGAACTCTTAATGAATCAAGTCTGAAAGGGCTCAGTTCGTTTACGATCATTTACCAAATTTTCATTTTAGAAGAGAGGAATGGGTTAGTTGGTACAAAAAAAAAGTGTAAATAAAAAGTTCTGAATTCAAAATCTTCCACATAATATTAAAAAAAAAAAGAGAAAGAAAGGAATTCTCCCATGTAAAAGGAAACTGATGCTGAAAGTTGAACACATTAGGCCCACCTTTGCAACATCCGAAGGGCCTAATGCTAGCCCATTAAACAGGGAAAAATTTATTAGATCCAGCGTAATGGACTCGCCCAACTTTAGTACACTTAGTTGTCCACCATATAAAGACTCGGGTAACCTGCAGCCAAACGCATTCTCTATTTCTGCAAATTCAGAACCAGAGGGGAGAGAAACGATGTCGTCTTCTTTTACGGACTCTTACGGTCAGTCGGGCGGCGATGACTCACCGGCTGGCTCCTCTCGTCCATTCGACGATGGTTACTTAGGCTACGATCCTCGCCTTTCGTCCCAGCGATTTGACTCGTTCTCAAATTTCGTCGAGTCCGAGTCAGTGAAAGACTCGGCGGCTGATGACTCCCCGGTCTTAACCTCGCACACGATTGCCGAAAGTTCGTCTCCAACACCGATCCATGTATCCGGTGGAGGATTTAGCTCCGATTTTGCCGAATTATCTCCTGAATCTAATGGAAAGCCGTTCGAGGACGGACACGCGGAGTCTAAAGGACCGATTCTGCCGCCACCGGCGGAGATGCAGGCCGAGGAGGGATACGCTCTTAGAGAGTGGAGAAGGTGATTTCATAGCCTGGTCACCTTGCTAAATTGTGTAATTTGTCTTGGTTAACTTCATTTCATTTAATCATAGTATAATTTCGAACTTTTTGGATTGAACGATGATTGGCCAAACTTGATTTTCAACCAGGAAGTTTTGGTTTTCCTTTTAACTGTTTCAAAAGATGGTACGTAGACAAAACTCTTAAAAGTCTAGACTTTTTTAGTCCATGAGCAACGTTAATGATCTAATGTATGCTTTGATTGAATTAGGAAGTAGTGATTAACTCGGTTACAAATTAATCGCTTCCATCCTACTTTCAGTTTAGTTGTTGTCAATCCTAATTTTATTAGGAATTTCTTTGATATGGTTGGACTTCTTCAAACGTGAATAAGTTCCTTTTTCAATATTATTAAATTGTTCTACTGCATACTCAGACAAAATGCCATTCGACTAGAAGAGAATGAAAAGAGGGAGAAGCAATTGCTGAGCCAAATTATTGATGAAGCTGACATGTACAAACTTGAATTCTACAAGAAGAGGCAGATTACATGTGAAAGCAATAAGTCCACTAATCGGGACAGGGAGAAGGTAAATTTTCAGTAGCAAACTGAGATTCTTCCAGCATTTATTTTGCCTGAGAATATGTTAGACAACAATTACAATTTCTATGCATATCTTGTTGTCTCAAATACTGTTAGTCATGATTGCTTCATGACTGCTCGTGGAATCGAAATGGCACTGAAAGATTGAAAGTGAGGTATTGTAGGAGATGGCTATGAAGTGATTATAGTTCCCAAGGTCTACTACATTTGATCACTATTTTTCATAGTTACCATGGGGAGCAATTATGCTGCTAAGGCATTGGGTTGAAAATTCTGCTTTCTGTAGGAATGTTAATGAGTAATTTGTAGTAACTGGATTTGGTAACCTTATCAGACAGGTCAGGCAGTGTGCCTCATGGGTTGAGTGACATTCCAGTATGCACTTTAGTTGGTAATTGGGTTAGTAATTTGAAGTTCTGTGTGTAGAGGTAAGACGTGATATGCAAATCCCGTACGGAAATATTTAAATGTCTGAGTCAATTCAAATGTTAGGTGTCATATTTTATGTAACCTAAGCACATCATATCAGACCACAAGAGGGAAGAAAAGAGGTTTTTTTTTTTTTTTTTTGTGTTGAGGTGGGGGTGGGAGAAAGCAACATGACTAACAAAAAGAACATCCATTTAGAGGTTCACTAACCCTGTCTTGGAATTTATTGTGTGCAATCGTAGCTAAGCTTTGGTTTTGAGGGACTTTAACATACTTTTAGCCATGTCAACCTCTAGAGGCATTTGCCCTGGCTTGGCACATCGTGAGACTGACTTTTGGTCATTGTTGTTCTAAAACTTAACATGTTGGAGAACTGACATATAAGTTTGGAGTTCCACGGTCTAGTATGAATTTGCTTAAAGGCGGGGATGCTGTATAACATTTTTCTCTACTTTTTTAATGCTCCAACATGAAGGCATGAGTAATAGCCAATCTCCCAAAAAAAAAAGAGTGGGTGAGTGACGTTGCTTGTACAAATTTTCTGACCAGAATATTGTTTGATTAGGTGTTTCTGGCAAGCCAAGAGAAGTTTCATGCTGAGGCAGACAAGAATTATTGGAAATCAATTGCAGAACTCATCCCTAATGAAGTGCCTACCATTGAAAAGAAGGGTAAGAAAGACCAAGAAAAGAAGCCTTCTTTAATTGTAATCCAAGGGCCAAAGCCTGGTAAGCCCACTGACTTGGCGAGGTTGAGGCAGATACTTGTAA